CCCACTAGCAGGTTTAATAAGGTTAGAGTTTTACAGTCTAGAAAGGAGATTAAAAAGAGATTTGATTTTGGGTTACATATAAGCATGCACCAGCAAATTAAGATTACCTAGTATAGATTTTCAGTTATTAATCATTTGCTGCAAGTTTTATGCTAACTTTTTGCACAACCAACCACAAGGCCAAGCTCTAGGAGTCCGGTTGAAGAGAGGGAGGAGGGAATATATGAGCAAAGGATGGAGAAACCTGCATAGTCAGCTGAACCAAAGCTTGTGGAAACTCATGAACTCTAGACTGACACAGCTGTGGAGACTCCGGGGTATCAAACTAGGCCCTCTGCATGTGGGAGGCGGTTGTGAAGCTTCAACTAGCTGAGGGCCCCTGGTGGTTGGACCATGATACAAACCTGGTACATGAGCTGGCTTGTTGGGGAAGGATTTTTAAAGAGGAAAACCACAAGAAGACCCTCTGTTCTGCCAAGGTAAGTGGTTAAGACAACTCAAAAATAATCTTTGGGTAACTGCATGAGCAAGTTACAGAGGCAACAACCACGACAAAAAAGCAGGTAGTCGTATCACGACAAGTAGATAGCCATGGCTGTATAATTTTGCATGGGGGTCACTGAGCCAGGGATACTGGGAACTTATCTTTCAGGAACTGGAGTCAGAGACAGATGACTGACAGGTACCAAAGATGGATGCCTATTATAAGGAGGAGCATGTTTAGCTGTAACAACTCCAACTTTCAGCCCTGGAGAGAAGAAATGCCCATGAGGCCTCATCATTTCCTGAGGGGCTAATGACTATTAATGGTTGCTAAAGGAGGTAATGTCATTTCTTCTAATGGCATAAGTACTGGGGGATTAGGTGGGTAGAAGAATGGGTTCTGAGGGAAAGGAAGGAGGGTGCTAAGATGGGGGAGAACATGATAATAATTATTAATAATAGTTAATAAGAATACATTGTATGTAAGTATGAAACTGTAGCATAAATTTTAAAATGGAAATAGCATTGTGTAGCAATACACACACTCCTGTCTTCAGAGCTTCATCAAGCTAGGATTAGAGACAGGAGCTTGGGCAGGCTGGGCTGGAATCACACTACAGATGAGAGGTATTGCCGTTATAAGAAGATCAAGGAGCCTAGTTAACAAAACACATCTGTTGGCATTTTTATATGATTAAACTCTCAGGTACATTAAATTTCAGGGAAGAATTAGTTTGGAAGATTTGAGATTATTCCTATCCAACTTTCGCAGATGTTTAAAAAAATTTGTTAAATATAAAATTATGTGCTGTCTTCCCAAAGATAACTCATTATGATTTATACACAAACAGAATCACATAAATCCTTGAGTGTGTGTGTGTGTGTGTGTGTGTGTGTGTGTGTGTGGTGAGTGTGTTTGTGTGTATGTGTGTGTGGTGTGGTAAGTGTGTGTGTATGTGTGTGTGTGTGGTGTGGTAAGTGTGTGTGTATGTTATGGTGAGTGTGTGTGTATGTGTGTGTATGGTATGGTGAGTGTGTGTGTATGGTATGGTGAGTGTGTGTGTAGGTGTGTGTGTACATGTAAACACAAGCAGGTAATTGTGTATGTGTGTCAGAACACGTGTGTCAATCATGTGGTGGCCAGAAGAGATCTCAACTGTCAAACTGTCATTCCTGAGGTCTTACCCTCTGTTTTTGAGAGAGTCTCTCAGTAGTTTGTTGCTAGCCACATCTGATAGCCTGACCTATCACTGAGCCCCACCTTCCCAGACCTGACATTACAAGCACGGACTTGTAAATACTGGGCTTTTAAATGTGTGTTCTTAGGATTGAACTCATGTCCTCATGTTTGCAGGGAGTTAGTCACCTTACTAATGGAACTGTCTCCTGAACCCCCATAATATTCTCAAATATAACCTTCTCACCGAGACAAGTTTATTTTAAACATTTCATGTATCTTTCTAATTATTCTCCATTGGGTTATGTGTGGGTTAAAATGTTTCAAGATACTAGTTATCATTTTAAGAGATAAACTTAGTTAAGGGGACATCACTGTTCACATTTGGCACAATAGGACTCTGACTTCCATAGATGCCAGTTCTCTGTCATTTCACTATTGTGTTACTTGCCCATTAGGAAATGTCCACAAAGTAAGGACAAAAACGCAGGATAGTTAACAATGCTTTCACAGGAAGAGTTTATTGAGAAAAAGTGTGTGTATGTGGGGGGCATTGCCATACCAAAAAAGCAGGATGCAGAGTAGTGTTTACTGCATGACCTTTCCACTAGAAGGCGCCATTGCCTATCTTGTGATCTTTGCTTCCTGTTCTCATCATTAAGAATCTTGAAACATTGTATTAGTCAGAGTCCACAATTTGCATCAAATCTCAGCTCTACAGAGAGAGGCTGTTTCATTGGCCCCAGTATCTACTGCTGATGATCCTGAAAAATGTCTTCCTTAAACATTTTAATAAGCGTCATAGAATGGTTTTTCTTTGACAAAGATAAAAGCTTTTTAAAAGGATCTCAACACTCTGAGAAACCCTGGATTACAATCTGAAAGAAACCAAGAGAATTATGTGTCATAAAACGAATGTATTATCTCAGGATGTGGATGGGATAGGGCAGGTGGGGGGAGCAGGAGGAGGGGAGGGAGTGGGAACTGGGATTGGTATGTAGAGTGAGAAAGGATTGTTTAAAAAGAATAAAAATAAAAAATGGAAGTATCAATAGAAATGATATAAATTATAACGTGTAATGAAATAAAATTTGGGAACCAAGAATTTGAACTTTTGAAATGTAAACTATCCTAGAGAATTCTCATATCAAAATGAAGCTATCAAAATGTGAAGAAAAAATTCAAATCATATTATCAGGCTGAGTTTTGTAAACCACACTTGCTCTTTGAAATTGGGCCTAAGCTCATGAACTCAATGTCTGATACCACCAAATTGAATGTTTTACAAAGCCATTGTTTTAAATACAGGGCAAACAAGCTTGAATTTATGCCCGGGTACATAAATCCCTGTGAGATGTGAGCTAAGGAAGGAGCATGGTAATGACTATATAATTCACCAGCGACGGACTAACTCTGGCCCTGGCAGACACCAGAATCTAGCACTTCCCTCCTAGGGACCAATCAGGGCGGACATTGGGACAGATAATTAACCACAGATAAGTTTCTTATTGTTATGGGTCAGGGTTACATTTAAACCAAATACAGATTAGTAATAAATATGTGTTGCTGAAAGCATATCACATTATTAATATGCAATGAGCTGATAATGTTTAAAAATAATTAAGAAACATTTCAATCTAAACAGGCAACAAGGAAGAATGTTTTACCTGGGTCTCAAGCTAGCTCATGAATATTATATGTCTTTATTTGTAAGCACTGGTTACCTGTAATAACAATTCATGAGCAGTCATCAGAGACAACCAGCACAGATTAACCTGTGTGGGACGAAGGGAGAAGAGCAAGGTAGCAAGATGCCTTTTTGGCACTGACACCTAATTGACTCTGTGACACTGGGCTTCACCAGGGCAATAGGAAGACATTCTCTGCAAAATAAAAACACAAAGAGGAATTATCAATGAGATCTCGTCTTATATCAATAGTGAATAATTTCAGTGTCTGTAGATAGCATGCCCCCTCCCCAGTTCCTAAAATCCTATAAATTACCTGGTCTTTACTGGCATAGTTTTGAGAGAGAGAGAGAGAAAAAAAAAAAAACCAACAAGACAAGCACCAACACTAGGATAATTCTTGAAAACATGCTTTCTTTCTTATTTTAAGATTTGCTAATTTATTGGTATTTATCTATGCGTTGTGCGCCTTTGTGAGATACCAATTGTCACATACACACGGGTGCCTAAGGAAGCCTGGAGAAGGCATTCGATCACTTGAAAGTGCAGGGACAGGCAGTTGTGCGCTGCCCAATGTGGGTGCTTAGAACTGAAAGGGAGTCCTCTGCAAGAGTTGTGAGCGTGCTTAGCTGCTGAGTCATTCCAGCTACTATCTCTTATTTCAAAACATTAAAAAAATTCTGCCTTGTTTTAGAAAACAGTTTTATTTGGTTCTCTTTTACATTCATCTTTGCAGGAAGCAAGCTTAATCTGACAGGCTAGAGTCTGGCAGTCTGAGCCAAGGCAGTACCTCGACTTCCGGGGGAGGAGAGCTCCATTGTTAAAAGCAGCCTGTGAAACACACTGGCCTCCCAGTTTTTCTGTGGGAGATGGAACACGGGCTCACAAGTAGCATCTGGGGAAGTGTCCACTTGCTTCCTTTTTCAGCAGATTGTCTTAACCTCTCTTTCCACTCAGTGGACCACTTTTTCTCCTAAGAAACGTCCCTCCTTTACGAATGGTCTTCACTATTCCATCCACACACCGAACACTGTTTAATGGGCATGAGGCACAAAGGCCGGACATCTATATCATGAGTGTAGTAAGACAGAATCTGAATGTGGGCTCATCTGTAGTGAGACATGACTTCTGAGGACTGAGTTGTCTGCAGGGGCTATGGTGTAAGTTCTCTGCAAGTGACCGGCATGAAACACAGCCGCTCTACAGCTAAACCTGAATTTGGATATGAGCTCCGTTTTACATGGAACTCCATGTTCAAGGCCATGCAGTGTACAGAGGGCATCCTAAACAAGTTCTTGCAGCGCATGGCGGGGTTACTGCGGAATCCATCGGTGTCTAGCAGGTAGCCTGCTTACTGCGAGTGTCAAGTTCCTTCTAATAACAGTATCAGAAACTGGGGCAGAAGACCCGTTATTAAAGGTCTGCTGAAAGCTAGGGAGAAAACGAGAGAAGCCAGCTGGCCTTCCATCTTACCAGCTTTTATGTGTTTTCTTGCTTTTATCAGCCAATGAAACAGTCCATAGACTCTCTGCCAGAAAGAGACAGTGTGTAGGGTTTATTGCACTGTGTCCTGTAAACTGGGGAGGAAGCCAATGGGAAAAAGTCCGGAGGGCTTTGTTTGGAGATTCTGCCTCATAGGTGGTGCTGAGAATTCAGTGTTTCTTTCTTTTTTTGCAGCACAGTGGTGTTAAGTCAGTCCCGCAGGTCCCTATCTTTTTTTCGAAGGCAAGGCAGTCCATTGCACAGTGGCCGTCCAGCTTTGCACACAGGTACGTTCTGTAAACCCCTGCCCTGGCTAGGGGAAGGGAGCAGCTGTTAGTAATCTACTAATCTTTTACTAGGCCAAAAAGTAAATCCTTGATTACTAAATCTGGGGGTGGGAGGAGCTCAGACTCCTGGAAAACCATATGCAATGCCCTTAGAAATCATTTGGGAATGACACAGGCCATCTCTCTGTTCAAATCAGCTAGCTTATACCAAAAGAGAATGTCTCTCCTAGGAAGGTGGCAATCCGCCTTCCCACTCCAATAAACAAACCTTTCCAACAAGATATTTCTTCTTTGTATTTCTAGAAGTGTCTGGTATTATAGACAAAAATTTGCAAAGCAGCCCAAATTAGTTTAAAATTTAAAGACAGTACAAAATATTATAGGCAGATCATCAATAAACAGTGCCCATTATTATATGATCTTAAAGCTTCAGATATAAAGTTAAGCGACAATGCTCTCATTATTGCCACCTGCAGAAGAGAAAAGAAAGCACAGAGTCCAAATAGTTTGTGAGGATGGGAATTAAGATTCAGCCTCAGCTGGGTCTCATGTGTGCCGCCTTCTACTGATTGCTCAGCTCACTCCTGCCTCACTGCCTTGATGACGGTGGTTAGTACACACACACACACACACACACACACACACACACACACACACACACACACACACTCAGCTTACTGAGCTGAGTTCTGGAGTGGGTAAGCTACTGAGCTTCTAAGTCTATGTGTTGACCTGGCTACAGTGAATTCCTGAGATAGATGGAGATGGAGAAGACAGATTGAATCCCTCCTCTATTCTGCATCCATTGTCTGACCTCTATGCATAGAAGGAGGACAAGATAACTAGGAACCTGGTTTGTGAGGGCGAGCACAGCACAGGCTCCGTTCCCTGGTTGCTCCCAAGGGTTCATCTGTGCTTATCCAGAGGCCTTTCTGCACCTCTTAGCTAGAGCGTGGTTTGCCCTGCCACATTTCTCTGTACTCACATTCTGACTTTCAGGGAAATTGTTTTGTGTTCAAGTTCCATGTATATATTCCCTTTTCACTCGTTTAGTTATTATTCCACCATATGGTTTTGAATGGTTTTAGTCTCGCCTGAAAATCTATTTTTTTTTACCAGCAGAAATAATAGACCAATACATTTCCAGAAAATTAAGGACTTGAGTTTTGTGTAACTGAATTAACGCAGCTAGGGACATTGTGTCCCAAGTGGTAAGGACATATTGTCGGGGTCTCTTGCCTCGCTGGAGCTTCTAAGGCTGACACACATACCCAAGAAGGTTAGACTCTTGAGAGCTATGAAGGAAGGCTGGGAAACCTCAGGACACAGGAAACATGTTTGAAGGGTATTTGAGGGGGCCTCGCCAGAAGAACCATTTGGGTGTGAGTTATACTGCACAGACAGACAATTCCTCTTAAACACTCCGAGTCACAAGTGCAAACAAATCAGGATGGTAGTGGTTTAAATGAGGTCATTTCCTATTATATATGAGATTCCAAAGAAAGTTTGGAATAACCTCAGGTAAGATAGTTGAGCCAACTACCAAAACATGGAAAATGTTGATGTTTTCTCCCATTTGAAAGCAGTCACTTTGCCATATGCTGAGATGTGTTGAAGACTTGAAAACTAGAGAAGGGATCTGAAAGATGGAAGGAGTACAAACCCCTTTATAGACCGACTAGAGAAGTGGACTGGGCACTCTAGTTGTTGCTAATCTAAGGCAGTGTAATTGGATTCCTCTGTTTCTCAGCTTGGTGCCTAATTTACCCTGAGACTATCAGAGATCACATTGGTGAGCGATGCGTTTTCCCTGAAGTTAGCTTGCTTTTCCCAAGACAGATCCCGATTAAATTGCCAACACTATCTCTCCAGGGATTTTTCTCTTACCTGGGAAAAGCTGAACAAGGAGAATGAGCCCAGCAACAATTAAGGAAAAGATTCTCATGTCTCTAAGCATCAGTGGAGGAGATGAAGGAGGTTCGGTAATGAAGCCTGGCTACTTTATTGAGAGAGTAAGACCCATTCCGCTGCTCAGAAACAGAACTATTTTCCATGCTCCACTGAGTATCTTATGAGCCAGCAGATCAGATTTTTATCTAAGTCTTTTGTTGGAGACAAGACAGAGAAAGAACCTTGCCTTGTGGCCTGGAACATTCCATTCCCTTTCTTCTTAGGCTTTCCCCATTTCCCTTCATGCTCCATCTTAAGGGTCCCCATTTCCACAAAACTTAAAACCATTCATTCTTCCTGTCTTAAACTTATATTTAATGTACTCTTTTACAAGTTTTATCTACCAGTTGTTAATGAATTGACACCTGGTATAGCGACTTTTAAAATTTGAGGTATAGAATAAATTAGCTATCCCAATAGATATTAAACCTCATAGAAGAAACCAGCTCAATTTTTTTGCTTTTTCCATTAGGTTCTTGCATCAGTGTTGGTTCGTTTTTTTAGTGGGAAGCTGTCTGCTTAGGGGAACTCATGAATAAACAAACAATTAGATGCAAATTATTGTCAAATCTTTCAAGCTTATGCATGTGTAAGGTTTTGAAGACGGTATAACTCTTTAAATTTCTCTCATAATCATTTCTGGTGGAAAAGCTGTGTGTGTGTTTATACTACACAGATATGTGCTACCAACAGACCTTAATTTTGTTCTAAAAGCAAAGGAGCCACTGTAGAGGTTTGTGCAGGATAGTTATCTGAAAGAATAAGAATTAACATCCCCAACAGAGTGAGTGCTTGGCGGAGCAATTCTCACACAGATAATAAACTAATTTATGGGAAATGCCGAGCTGCTGAAAGAATTCAAAAGATGCAATGAAGTTGGGTATACTTTGGGGAAAAGGAAATGTCTAGTTAAGGAATGTAAGTACAATGCATAACCTGTAATTCTTAATGTGGTAGTCTTGGCCCTCAGTGTGAGATACAATGGAACCTTTAAAATTAGGGTTTAAAATCCTGCTGTGATGGCTCAGGAAGTGGAGACAGAGAGTTTCAGGCTAAGTTGGACTGCAGAGTGAGTCCTAGCCTAACCAGACCTCATATTGAGACTCTGTCCCATCAAAACAAAAGTAAAACCAATAGCCAGAGTTTATTATGAAATCATAAAAACGCCCCTTCCTCTCCTCCCTGCTCTCTGGCTCCTTGTTTTCATGAGGCACAGCGTGTCTTTTGCTCTTATCCATGCTCCTCTTCCAGGATGCCATCACTGTGATTTGACACAGCCTGGGAGACCCTCTCTACAGCTGCACACATGTGGTCACCTGATCTTGGACTTTAGCCTGTGAGTGAAATGAATGTTTCTTGATGGAGTACCTGGACCAGTTGAGAGAGAGAGAGAGAGAGAGAGAGAGAGAGAGAGAGAGAGAGAGAGAGAGGGAGGGAGGGAGGGAGGGAGGGAGGGAGGGAGGGAGGGAGGGAGGGAGGGAGGGAGGGAGGGAGGGAGAGAGGGAGGGACGGACGGACAGACAGACTAACTCACAGCTCTCTTCTCACCATTCACCCTACCTACTCTTGGGTGGCGCCCCTGTTCCAGGTTTATGAGAGGCAAAGCTAGGAAAGGAGATGCTTACAGCTCACATCACCTGCTTCAGGGCCAGAGGCTTACCCTTCCTTTCATGGACCATCTCTAGGATCCAGGGTCTCCTCTTGACCCCAGCTGTCACTTCCATTCTATTTCCTGAATAAGACTGGTGTCATTAAAGTGACACTGAGTACTTTGCATTGGCAAAGCAGGGGAGGTGTCTTGAGGGTGAGATTTCTTCCCACTGGCGGGCCCAGGGTGGAGAAGCACTCAGGAAAGCCCTTCTGTGAAGGGGTTGCTTAGGGAAACTTTCTTCAGGTTCACCTGTGCAAGCTCTCAGACCTTGATGTAGCCACAGTCCAAGAGGACCTAGTGACCTCTCGAGTTGGCAGTAGATCTTGTGTCATCCACGCCATCCTGGTTTTGTTGACTTGCAGAAGGCAAGACTAAGGGGACTATGGAGACTTTGGCCAAGGTTCCAGAGAAGAGCCTGGGAGGCACAGCACTGAATTCCCTGTAGAGAGTCCTGGCTTTGCACAAAGCTCTAGGAGTGAAGCTGACCCCCCAGGGTGTTAGAAATACCAAGCATGCTGGAACTCTGCCAAGAAAAGCTGCACTCAACAAATGGGTCAGCCTAAAAGATGCCACGTGTGCTGCAGGAGACGGACAGGGCCACCCAGACACTCTGTAGTTGACATGTCGCTCCATGCCCCAGATGCCAGGCACAGGGCTTTAGTGTTTGCTCTGCTGGATTTGGGTCTATCTTTGGGCCAATCCTTCCTTGCTATTGGTATGACTCTTTTTGGAATGGGAATGTTTTTTCTGTGATGTTGCGTATTGGAAGCACGACACTTGATTCTTTTGATGTCTGCAGATGTTGAAGCTGAATATCAGAAAAGACTGGACATTAGTATCCTGAGGAGTGTCATTTTCCCCTTCGAGTATTGTAGGGCTCTGCTGTTAGGTACATGTGTGTTTATACTGTGTCTCATCTCTTGGATTGACACTTCTGTCATAAAACATCTTTGTCTCTAGTAACAGGTTTGTTTATTGTTGTGGTTTTTCTTTCTTTCTTTTTTTGTTAAAGTTTGTTTTACATGCCATTGGTCTAGCCTTTGTTTTCAAAAGGTTTCTTTGAATGTAAAGTTTTTAAAAATGCAATTTAGACTTTAATCTTTTAAAAATCCATCTTGTTAATTTCTAAGTGGTATGGTTAATTGATTTTCTCCTAATGTAATAATCAGTGAAGTAGTACTAATATAATATTTACCATTTGTCTACTGAAGGCTGTCATGTTGTCCTTTTCTCCTTCCCCATTTTACTGCAATTAAATTTCTTATATTTTGTGCTATACATTTTAGTCATTATAAGTGGCTGTCTTTTGGATTATTACTAATGTAGCTCATACACAATTTGTTTGGCATTAATACCAATTTATTTTCAATGGAACTACAGCCTCATTTTCTCACCCTCATTTTTTTTTATATTTTATTTTCCAGTTTAAATTTAGATAAGAAACGAGGTTGCTTCACAAGTCAGTTCCAGGTCCTTCTCCCATTCCCTCCCCTCCTCCCGTGCCCTCCCCAACCCCCCCCGTTATCCCCTCATTCCCCCAGGGAGGGTGAGGCCCTCCATGGGGGTGTCCATAGCCTGTCATTTCATATAGGGCAGGGCCTAGACCCTTCCCCCAGAGTTCAGGGTGAGAGTGCACCTCACATTGTTCTATGGGAGTCCAAAGTCCGTGTGTATACTTGGGATGGGTACTGATCTGCTGCCCAAGGTCACCCTCATTTTTTTAATGTAAAAATAAGTTGGGGAATTCTGAAGTGAGAGTTCTTGCTGGTCTTGAAGGATGAGACTACCTTGGACAGAGATAGCTCTGAGCAGGAGATACTAAGGGATCTCCAGTTGCTAGAACGGCTAAGGTTGGCCCTTGACTGTGCCTTTGGAAGACCTTTGCCTCTGATGGCATTGAGGCTCGAGTCAGTGCTTTAGAAGTCAATTTTGTGAACACTGGATGGAGAAACCATCTACACCAGGCCCAGACATGTAACCTGAGACAGTTTGAGATAGCATGCACCATTTTAAGCTGCTAACATCACAGTGTGCTGTTACACTACAAAAGAAACAGCAATAGTATTTTAAGGCATGTGTATTTTGTAGAGGAACATTTGCATGTTCTTACCAGGCTGCTAGAATCTCCAAAGCAGTGAGTAGTTTCCCAAATGGTTGAAAGTCTTTCTAATTGTTTTTTAAGTATGTTTTTTATTTAAATTAGAAACATGCATGCTTCAAATGTCAATCCCAGCTCCCCACTTCTCCTTCCACCAGGCCCACCCCCAGCCCAATCCCCACATCATTCCCCAGGGAGGGCGAGGCCCTCCTTGGGGGGAATCTCCAGAGTCTGTCATTTTATCCAGTGCAGGACCTAGGCCCTTCCCCATGTGTCCAGGCTGAGAGAGCATCCCTCCAAGTGGAATGGGCTCCCAAAGTTCACTTGTATGCCATGGTGAGCACTAGTCTACTACCCAAGTCTAATTGTCTTTTTATAATATCATCTCACTCCCACCCCACTCCCAGACCTTTTATGCTAAAGCCCCTTTATGCTAAGTTTGTCCCACAACAGGCCACATCCTTAGCTAAAATAGTCAGTGAACCCATGTGATGTTTTTGTGATTCATAGAAAACACATGTCTCACTGCGTGTTCTAGATACTGTCTGGCAGGATCTGTGTCTGCTGTGGGAGTGCCAGGTGACAGAAAAGCAGTAGCTTTAATATGGGAAATGAAGCCCCTGGCAATAGAAACATCCCTGTTTCTGTTCCCATCTGCCATTTTCCCAGCAGATGGTATTGACTGACACCAGTCCAGTGTCAGAAACCCTGGTTGATGGAGTTTGTAGAGACTAGTGCCGAGTTTCAGAGTTAAGAGGGAACAAACAAGAGAAGTGCCTAAGCACAAGATACACTGAGCAGAACACTACCCAGGTTCACATATTCCCCATAAAACTGATCAAGCATAAGCCCCACGGCTGATAGTTCTGAACTTTAGTTTTTGAAGCTACAAACTGTATTTCACAAGGCAAAGGTTACAGTTTATCATCTGCATACAGTCTATGCAAATGGATATTTTAATTAATCTCTAAACATTTTCTTTTGTAGGCAAAAAGAACAATACAAATTCAGTACCATAGGCATTCACAGAGTAGACGGGAGCTGTTTTAAGAATACATAATAATTGTTATAATTGTTGTAACCATGTGATTGTTATATTAGTGGATAATAATACATTTCATCATCAAGACTATTCTATAGGACTTTAATACTGTCAACACAGAGGAATATGGCACTTTATTTGCCTGTCAATGTCATAATAATTCGTATGTTAGAGAGATGCACAGGATGAGGTGGTGATGTACACACTATCCCTTGTCTCCCAGCTCTAGCTTCCCCTGGGCAACAGCCTTCCTGCATCTCAGTTTCTTCAAACACAAATAAGAATGATAAAGTCGATCTCTGAGTTGATCCTGAGCCATATGAGAAAATTCTGGAGGGCAGATTTGTAACTTACAAGTATTCTGGAAATGTAAAGTAGTGAATGAAGGCATTCATTGTTTTTTTGACTTTTTATCATCTTAAAATTAAAATGAAGCACAGGAACGAAAGTGAGGAGGGAGGGGACCTGACTTGAACTCACTGTGGTCCAGTCAAGCCACAGAACTCGCCTGGGACATCCACTCAGTGCGGATCTAAGGCCCAAAGAGCATGGTCAGTGTGCTCAGATCCTCTCCCGGCAGCAGAAGAAGTTCAGCTTGCACTTTCCTGCAATCTTCTCACTATCCAGGCACACCTTCCTGCATTTCCCCCGACCGAGCCTGCACGTCTCACACACAGCAAATTCACCTGTGCCAGGAAAGAGCAGCTGAGATGTTCGCTGGAACTTTTGGGGGCTGGGAAGAATATGTAAGGCCACCTAAACACACAGGGTTTGCACGTATAGCTATGGTGAACGTTTTCTAGAATTAGCCCAGTGGCTTTGGGGATGGCTTAGTTGGTCAAGTGTTTGTTGTGTGAGCATGGGGACCTAAGTCTGATCCTGGGTTGGATATCAGCTGGGGAGGCAGAAACAGTTGGATCCTGGAAACTGGGTGACATCTAAGTTCCACTTCTGGCTTCTACACATATAAACACCCCCCCACATGTATACACACACATTCATGTACACACACACACACCACCACCACCACCACCACCACCATCAAATAAGGGAAACACTACTCCATAGCTTCTGCTTACCACAGTGTGAAGCTGAAAAGAGTTCAAAACAAGAGGCAACTATCATTCATGTTCCCCAGGTGTTTATTGTCTTTCATGGTCCTAATGTAAGTGACAGAGTAATACCTATTTTTCAGAACTATTTAATGCCTGTCAGATGAAAGTGAAAGGACCAGCTTGTGGTTTCAAATCCTTGAAGCTTGAATGAAGAATTTTTACCTCAATTCTTGTTTGGGCCTAGTAATGGCTGTGTATTTTCAACAAATTTCTTAATTTACATAGCCCTGTTCAGCTGAGGGATAATACTAGAGATACCTGAGCCCATTTTTAATTTACTTAGTGGACATGCAAATTAACTGTGTGATGTTTGTGCTGTAGAATATTTACTTCTAAGGGCGATCTAATGATTAAATGGCATAATCCATGTGTGTGGGTTAAGGGCAGGAGAAGTTAGTACTCCATGACTTCCATATTTCTCATTCTGGAATAGTATCTGAATCTATTCAATTTATTAACATTAGTGTGTGTGTGTGTGTGTGTGTGTGTGTGTAGAGAGGGAGAGAGAGAGAGAGAGAGAGAGAGAGAGAGAGAGAGAAAGAGAGAGAGAGAAAGAGAGAGAGAGAGAGAGGAGGGTTATGTGTGTAGTACACATGCACATGTATGTGCGGGTACATACCCGCGTGTGCGTGCATACATAGAAATAAGAAGAAGGCATTGAGTAACCCCTTCCTTCTATCACTCTCAGATGTAGTCATTTGAAGCAGGGTCTCTCTTTGACTCTTATCTCATTTTCTAGCTGGGCTATCAGATATAAAAGTCCCACTAATCCTCCTCCCTCTGTCCCCAGAGTGTTGGGATGACAGGCTCAAGCAAGACTGTGTAGGTGCTGGAATCCAAATTTGAGTTCTTACGGTTGCACAGCAAGCATTCTTAACCAGTGAGTCATTTCTCCTGCCTTCCAAGAATATTTTAGTATTTCTTTCGTGTTTACATCGTGTTGTCTTGCCATGTAAGAGAACCTCCTGTGCACACCCAAAGCATGTGGCTAACCATTATGAATGAGTTTCTATAACAAAGGTGACATATTACTAAACCGTCTTCACCATTCTGTGTGATCCTCCTGAGTCCAGCAGCATGCATCTGTGCAGACCTCATTCAGTTTAGGTTGTAAGGTAAAGGAAGCCATGATCTTTGGGTGGTGCTAATTGTTGGGGATGAGGTTGAACCTAAGCACTGTAAATTAATGGAAAAGTCAATGGGAAAATCCAAATATGATCGTGGACACAAGAGTAAGAGAGAATGAAGCCAACAAACCAGAACTCAGTCCTTTCACAACTGCTCTCCTCCTTGGCTTCATCAGTCAGAGAAAGCTAACTGGGCCTGCACTCCCAAGAGAAAAAGAGAAAGTACAAGTAAGGGAAGTAATTTACCTCCTGGAAATGACTGGGAATACTCAAGTCCTGCCCAGGACCCTAAATTTAAAACAAAATACATTTTAGGAAAGGATATTAAAGCAAGAAATAATGTTATATAAAACTTCTCCCACACATGACATGGCTCATGAGGACCTATGCTATGGCTGCCATCTTTACTTGATTCTCAAGACCAGCACTCCTGAGCCAGGAAGACCAATGTCCAAAACAAAAATAAAATAAAAATTAAATTTCTATTCAGGTGGCTCTTGGGATACATTAGTGCAGTTCCAAGAAGTCTTTGGGGAGAGATTTACTCTCAGATTCAGGGTGATTCATGGAAGAGCCATTGGGTTTCATGATCTGCCCCTATCACCCCATCAAAATCCCATCAGCTTTTATTTACCTGATGGCCACTGGACTGCAATGAAGAACAAAGCAAACCCAAAATAAAACATCTCTCTGCTCAGGGCCATGTTTGAGGGAAGATGCTTCAGAACACAGGATCAGGATTTCTCTGAGGGGACAAGAAAGCACTTATATTTGAAAGTAATGGCTGTGTTCTTGGTTAGTGAAGTGAATCGATAAAGTACAATTACATGCTCCATTTGCCATGATCAAGAGCCAAGAAGTGGGTTAAGACCTTGGAGCCTGCAAAGTCTTATTCCCCAACACCTGACCAGCTTGTGAATGGAGTGGACATTTGCTCAAGGCTGGTAGAACGCAGGGTTATGCACATTTCTACTGCAGGGAATCTAGTGGAGAGACACATTATTGCTTTTGTAGCATGTCCTGAACATCTGGTATGATTCCAACACAGAAGTACTTTGAATGCTCATGCTGCTTACAGAGCTCTGGTAGGTACTGGAAGGTAATCCACAGATTGCGCACGTACTCTCCTCCTTCTTGTTGCTGTATTTGTAAATGTTTCAGGAGAATGTGAGGAGTAACAGCCCTTTTGCTAAGTTAGCTTTGAATCCCCTGCCTGACAGACATCACATCATGGATCCTTCATAACCACAGCAACATTTAGTAATTAAAAACAACAGTATCAAAGGAATATTCATGTCGCTCGTGTCAGCTCCCCAAACCGCGTCCTGCTTACTGAAACTTTGATGCTTATAGTTACATGGTGTGCTGGTCTTCGGTCTTGGAGGCAGAGGTAGGCCTGGAGTCAGGGGTTTCTCAACCAGATACCCCAGAAACTTAGGTAGGAGCATCACAAGCTAATGTCTTGCCTGGGCTATCCAGTGAGTTCAGTGAGTTCAGAGCTATCTTGTATATCTTTGGTGAGATTTTATCTAAAATAAGTAAAAACAGGGCTGTAGTAAAGTTTAGACCACTTTGGATAGGTTGATGATTTTTCAAACCTCAGCTTCCTTATCCTTAAAACTGGGTTAGAATTACAATATAAGCTTTGTGGGGCATCTGAGAACATATGCATGGCATAGGAGTGTTTAGCAGAATGTTGGTTGTTTCTGTTATTACTATTATGTTCATATTTCTATGTAACTTTAAAAAACTACTCTGCTAAATAAGCATGGTAATATGATACCCAGTGGCATCTTCTATACTCATAGGTCAGAGCATCACTCAACCCTCACAGAGAAACTTCTCCTTGCATTATGTGGTAATTAACACAGGCTTCCACAACTGGACAGTGCACAAAGAGTGACAGACTTTGGAGCTGTCAGTCTTAATGGGATATTTTTATCACAGTTATAAGCCCAATGCCCATATAGAGCCACAGAGACTGAAAGTATGCACAAGACCAGCACTGGTTTAAACCAGATAAAGCTCCAGCCCATTGAAGGGGAAGTGGATACAAAAATTAGACCTACGTAAGAAGCTATTTATTTGTAATCGATAACCCCTGAGGGAGGTAGAACCAGTTTTTGTCACAGGAGTGACATTGGGTATTTCAACCATATTCCAAGACATGCCTTATGCTTAGGGTAGTTAACCAACACAAATCAGGCAGCATGTAGTCAGGTGGGTAGTGGGGAAGATCTGGAAGGAGTTATGGGTGAGGAAAGAATATGGTCAAAAATACGTGTGAAATTTGAAAAAGAAAGAATAAAAACAAACAAAACAAAAACCCCTCAGATAAAGTAAGATGGTGTAGCAGGGTTGTAGTGGCAGTGGTAAACACATTTAATCAAGCACTTTGGAGGCAAAGGCAGATCTCAGTTAGTTCAAGGCCAGTCTGACCTACAAAGAGAGTTCCAGGAGAGCCAGAAGAAACCATGTCTCCCATGTGGTAAAGTTCAGAATTTAAAAACAAATAATGGAGCACATACTTAGGTCAAGCTCTTTGCCCAACATGAACATATTGCAAAGATAGAATCTGGAGTTCAGAGTCCACCTGACCACAGTGCACCACCAGTCTGTAACTGCAATACTGTCATATACTTACACTCCCACTATACCTGAGAGCTGAAGCCATTAAGGAACACAGTCAGGATTAGCAATAAAATGACTGGGCTCCAGATTCTTCTCCCACAACATTGGCATCCACCCCTCTATCTATGCCCACCTCTGTTCTCCTCTCATGAATATTTTCCTTCTTGGGAACTTTCCCAAACCAGAAAACAACAACAAACTGTAGGTTGAGGGACACCCACTGAGGCAAGTAGGCTCTCTGTAGCAGGGTGTGGGTTTACTCATTCTGACAGGCTTCACTGATCAAGTCCCTCTTCGGTCTGGAGAGATGTATAAAGGTGGGTGTTGCTGTCCTTTCCCAAGGACATTGAGCTGACCTCTCACAGCCCTCCAGGCCATGAAGACATTCTTCTTTCTCTTTGCTGTTCTCCTCTTTCTGTCCCCAGGTAAAGAAAATGATCATCTTTATTTGGAGGGTGATCTGAGATGCTGACCCAGACACAAGGTCTATCCTGCAAATGCCCAGGTGTGATCAATCCTTGAATGTAAGGATAACTTTTGTCTGTAGGCCTAGAAAGAGAACAGTTGTCACAGAAGGTAACTTGCCTACAATGAATCATCAATAATCATGTATTCATACATTGAATTTTCCATTAGTATCTCTGGAAAGTTGTCATAGGTTTGAGTAAGTAAAGAAAAAAGGTGCTTTTTGATGCCTGGGTTTATGTTTATTAAAAATAATGGACAAATAATTAAAGGGGCAATTAAAATATAGAATAAAATAGGCCATAAAGAGATAGAAAAAGAAAGATGTAGAAGAAGAAAGCTACATATCTGTGTTCACCAAAGTCAGTGCCTTTAAGAAAAATCCTGTTCTACTTTTAATTTAGTGATATTTGGAGGTATTTTCTGTTTGGTTTGAAATATTTACCTTATATATTATATGTGCATGGAGACAGAGACTCTGATGGGTGAGGGTTCTTTCTTTTCAGGGACATATGGGTAAGGTAGTATCAGTACTCTGTGTTGCACAGTGAGTGCTGTGTAGGATATCCTTCACGAATTATATCTCTCTTTCTGCCTTCTTACATTCTGGCAAGTTTGAAAAGATGTAGCTGTATACTCTCCAAAATTAGGAACAGGAATGCCTCCTAACCCCAGGGAGCTAAATGAAGGGACTTTTGGGAGTCAAAATGAATCTAACTTTGACTAGCCCATGTGTGTTGCTCACCATTCTGTATATATCCCTGGTCTGTGTTGTGACAAATCTATGGGAGTGGATTCTGCATCAGGATATGGAGATCTAGACTTTTGGTGAATGAATGGTGTGTCTCTGCAATCTCCTGGCACTGATGTGAACATTAGAGACTGGTGAGAGATGTTAAGACCTCTCATATGCACTACATAGTTAACACAATGAAAGAGTTTCCAGTATAAAATTATCTAGCATACCAAATGCACCACACATGCAGGAACTCAATTTGAACACATTAGAAAGCTATAGGTAAAGATGTTCTTGTTTTTCAAAAGCTGCTGAGTCATCACTGTGAATTAGATGTGCTACAAAGACTCTTGGAAGAGTGAAGTCCTGAACCTCTAGTCTGACATAGCCTTACTATGTTAGGAGAGCAGAGACAGTATTGAACACGGCAGTGATAGTCAGAGTTCAAGGGGCTTTGAAACGTGGGACACATATACTTCTGAACCAGTATTCTCACAGTAGTTAATAGCTAGCGTGCCTGACAGCAGTCACCCACTGCGTTTTGCATAAATTTGAATTAGCAGCTTGATGCTTTCATATCAAATGGAATATCTATGCATTGGACACCTCCACTGCACATACTTCAAGCCAGCAGCTCTAGAGATACTGATTCTGGAAAGGTGGATTGTCTGTCCTTAACACACAGTGGTCTGCTCTTGTGAATGCTATGGACCAAGGTACTAATGAGAAAATTGAAATTTACTGAAAAATAATGAGTATTCACAGGGAGATTGTCTCAACTACCTCCCCCTACTTCCCTTGAAGTGTCTGAATTTTACAGTGGCATCTTGGTGGCATGTGATAGAGAAATCAGAAGTCTTTCTCTACTTGAGTATTGGGATGGCCCTTTAGAAACCCATGGACAAAGATGTTCATTGACACTTCAATCTGCCTGGGCTGTCCTTGTGAATTGGATATGCTACAGGTCTCTTTTATTTTCTGGCTACTCCACTAAACCACACACACACACACACACACACACACACACAATCACTTTTAATACTAGTCTTGAGTCATCTCCCCATACTCAGCTCTTGCTCTCAACCCTTACAGGGTAGTAATCTTTGAAAGCATGTGTATTTATGAGTTGAGTGGATATCCTTTTTCCAGTAGGTCTGTATAAAAGAATGTCAGCCTCTGTCTTCCAAAGTCCTAACCAAAATTGTCTGGGTATTGGCTAGTTCTTGTTGCTCTTTCACCTTGTGTGACAAAAGACAGAGATATCACATAGAAAATGTTTCTGCTTGTAGCTCATCTACTGGAGGACTAAGGAACTAAGTCACAGCTTGCAAAGAGACTGTTGCTGGTGCCATACACCAATAACAGCTAATAATTAGCCACATTGGAAAATAATTAATCTGTGTGTGGGGGGGCTTTCTTCTTTTGTGTAGCCAAGAATGCATTCTTTGATGAGAAATGCAGCAAGCTAAATGGGAGATGCACAAAATATTGTCAAAAAAATGAAGAACTTATTTCTCTCTGTCAGAAGACATTGAAGTGCTGTATGACAGTCCAGCCATGTGGAAACAGAGTCAATAACGCAACTGAAGACTTGAGCACATAGAGGCTCAAAGATGACCTGACCGTGTCTTCTTGCTGTGGCATCTGCTGGCAGCAGATACATCAGTGAAAATAAATGACTGTCTTTCTTCAGCTTGTCAGCTCCTTCTTTCAGAAGGCCAAGAATGGCTATCTAAACTTTATGGTCCCTTTATCCTTGTTTATTTTTCTATACTTTTGTGGTGAGGCCATTGTCCCAAAGAGGTGATACAATAGCCAAGAACAATGTAGAAACAGAGAGGATATATAGAGAAAAGTAGGAAACAGCCCACTTCTATGATAACATTTATTTTCCATGATTATCTGTAGTATACTATTTGGCTTTGATTCACTCTAATTGTATTTTTATACCTAGTATGTTTTGACATTATTACTGTTATGGAAGTTTGTTTTCACCTGGGTGATACTAGGGATTAAGTCCTCAAGAGAAGACCATTCACAAACATGACCCTGAAATGAAAGTTAGAGTTGATTCCCATACCAACAATATACAAATCACAAGTTAGAAACATGAGAAATATGAAAAAGCAAGGAGGCATGAGTCCTCTAAAAGCTCATAACTCTGAAGTGGTTAAATTCAAACATCAAGATGGTTCAAATTCCAGAGTCCAAATCTCAAATCTACTTTTAAAAAATGATAGGTAAATTTACCTCAGATTGACAGAATCAGGTGCAGAGATCCACAGTCAAGCACCAGGCTGATCTCTGGGAGTCCAGTAGAATACAGGGAGAAGAGATTATATTAACAAGGGGTAGGGGTCAAGAACATGAAGGGGAAATCTGCACAGACAACTGAACGAAGCTCCTGAGAACTCATGAACTCCTGACAGACAATTGTAGAGCCTGCATGGGACCAAGCTGGGCCCTCTGCGTGTGGGCAGCAATTGTGTGGGGGCTTGATCTACTTGGGGGGGGCTGGCACTGGGGCCAGAATTTGTCACTGCTGCATGAGATGGCTTTTTGGAATCCATTCCCTATGGTGGGATGCCTTGCTCTGCCTTGATGAAGGAGGGAGGGGCTTGGTCTTGCCTCAACTTAGTGTGCAGGACTTCATTGATTCCCCCATGGGAGGCCTTATGCTTTAGGAGTGGATGAAGGGTGGGGGAGGTCAGGAGGATAGGTAGGAGAGGGAAGGTGGTTGGGTATGTAAGTTAAGAAAAATTAAAATTAAAAAGTGGAGAACAACCACTTGATGTTAGTACTACTTACATTGTAATAAAGTGATCATTCCTCTTTGCAGAGAGAAAGAAAGAGAGAGAGAGAGAGAGAGAGAGAGAGAGAGAGAGAGAGAGAGAGAGAGAGAGAGAGAGAGAGAGAGAGAGAGAGAGAGAGAGAAAGAAAAAGAAAGGAAGCTCTGATGTTGCGAGCTCTTAGGATTTGGGAGCTGGGGTATCTGTGCTCACACAATAAAATTCAGCCTAAGGTGACTGATAAAATCAACATCCTCCTCAGAAAAGAAAAGTCAGAAGAACTTATGTCATCAAGAATGAAATGTTGAGGAGGAAGGGTGTAAAGGGAAGCCTTCCTGCCAGCCTGGTTCCAGAGCCGCATCAGTCCCAAATAAACACACAGGAGGCTATATTAATTATGAAGCTGTTGGCCTTGCTTGTTTCTTACTGGCTAGCTCTGACGTAAGTATTTATCCCATAACTGATAATCTAAGTATTTCTCTTACCAGAGAACTTTCTGGGCTTCCTACCCCATGGCGTTACATCTTGACTTCCTGTCTTTCTCCTTCCCAGAGTCCTTCTGGACTCCTAGTCCCACCTATCTTGGTTCGCTATTGGCTAACAGTACTTTACTGACAAATACACAGGACTTCCCCAACAGAAGGGGATACTGTACTCAGGTTGTAAAATAAATAAACTTAAAAAATGAAAAAATTGCTGGGTCTTGTGGTAGATTGATTCCCATTTTCCTGAGGAATCTCCATACTGATTTTCAAAGTGGCTGTACGAGTTGGCACTCCCATCAGCAGTGGAAGAGTGTTCCCCTTTTTCCATATCCTCTTCAGCATAAACTGTCTTTGGAGTTTTTGATCTCATAGGAGTAAGATGGTATCTCAGAGTTGTTTTGATTTGCATTTCCTGGATGGCTAGGGATGTTGAACATTTTCTTAAGTGTCTCTCAGCCATTTTAGGCTCTTCTACTGAGAATTTTCTATTTAGTTCTGTACCACACTTTTTGATTACAACAAGGACATCTGTTCCACTATGTTCATAGCAGCATTATTTGTAATAGCCAGAACCTGGAAGCAACCTAGATGCCCCTCAACTGAAGAGTGGATAGAGAAAATCTGGTACATTTACACAAAGGAAAAAAAAACAATGGAATCTTGGAATTTGCAGGCAAATGGATGGCAGTAGAAGAAACCATCCTGAATGAGATAACCCAGTCACAAAAAGAGAAATATAGTATATACACACTTGTACATGGATTTTAGACATGAATCAGAGAGTGCCAGAATACAATCCCACTGCCAGAGAGTCTTGGAAACAGAACCTTCATCCAGCGACTGATGGAAGCAGAGGCAGACATCAACAGCTAAACTCTGAACTGAACTCTTGGAATCCAGTGACAGGGAGAACTGATGAGCAAAGGGGTTAAGATTGAGTTGGTTTAACCCATAGAAACAGTTGACCTGAACAAGTGGGAGCTCTTGGACCCCAGACTGATGGCTGTGCTGAAAGCATGGGACTGATCCAGACCCCTTGAATGTGGGTGACAGTGAGGAGGCCCAGGTAATCTGTGGGGCCTTGGGTAGTATTCATCCCTGGCATACAAATGGACTTTGGCTTCCCATCCCACAATTAGGGATGCTCTCTCAGTCTGGACTCTTTTTGGAAGACCTAGGCCCTGCCCTGGATGAAATGACAGACTATGGGGATCCTCCATGGAGGGCCTTACCCTCTCTGGGTATTGGAGTGGAGATTGGGTAGGGGACTGGGGGAGCCTGGGGGAGGTGGCAGGGGAGGAGAGGAGAGAGAAGGAACTAGGATTGATATGTGAAGCAAGCTTGTTTCTAACTTAAATAAAAAAATGAAAAATTCACTTCAGATTCAAATAAACAGAAAACTGAAAAAAAAGGGCAATTCATAACCTGGAGTTGGATATCAATAGGTTGGGTGAGACATTCATCAGAGATACAGAGATTTTGAAAAAGCAAAATGAAAGTTCAGCAAATCAAATAAAATGTTCATCACCAGTAGAGTAGCCTGGGAGAAAGAATGAATACTGGGGATCAAAGGTAAGGATGAAGATTTACTACATTTAGGTGACAATAAAAATTTGTGAGTGCAGCATTCAAAACCCATGGGAAATTATTTTTTATTTTAATTTTAAATAGCTTGTTTTACATGTCAATCCCAGTTCCCTCCCTCCCCTCCTGCCGCACCCCCCACTACGCCCCCATCCTCCCACCCTATTGCTAATTCCTTCCACATAAGGGATATCTAGAGTCTATCATTTCACTCAGGGTAGCGTCCAGGCACTTCCCTAAGAGTCCAGGCAGAGAGAGCAACCCTCTTTGTGTTATGGACACACGATATCTGTTAGTATTTGAGGGATAAACACTGATCCACTGCTCAGGACCCCATAGGTAGCCCAGGCCTCCTCACTGACTCTCACATTCAGGGGGTCTGGATAAGTCCCATGCTGGCCTCCCAGCTGTCGTTCGGATCAGCTGTCTCTGCTGGTTTTGCCAACCTATTCTTTGCCAATTTGCTCTTTGCTCCTCTCTCTCTGTCACTGGGTACCTTGGGTTCAGTTCAGTGTTTAACTGTGGGTGTTTGCCTCTGCTTCCATCAGTCACTGGATGGTTATGGACATCAAGTTCACTATCAGGAATGGTCATTCGAGGTGGTCTCTACAGTATTGCTTAGCTTGCCAATTGGTGTCATCCCTTTAGATCACTAGAGGTCACAATGGTGCCTGATCTGTCTTCTAACCTATGATTACCTCTTCCCCCTATCCTACCTCCCCAGTCAACCTTCCTGTTCCTCCACGACCTACTTTCTCTTCCACTTCTCCCCCTCTCTATTTCCCAGGTCCCCCTCCCCCCACCCCTTGCCATGTTCCCCATCTGTTCAGAGGATCTTGCCTCATTTCTCTTCTCTTGGGTACCATGCATATCTTTTAGGTTCTTTCCTGTTTCCCAGACTCTCTGTCAGTGGAAGTGCAGACTGGCACTTTCCTGATTCATGTCTAAAATCCATATATGAGTGAGTACATACCATGTTTGTCTTTTTGTGACTGGGTTACCTCACTCAGGATGGTTTCTTCCAGTGCTATCCATTTACCTACAAATTTCAAGATTCCATTGTTTTTTTCTGCTGAGTAATACTCCATTGTGTAAATGTACCATATTTTCTCTATCCACTGTTCAGTTGAGGGGCATCTAGGTTGCTTCCAGGTTCTGGCTATTACAAATAATGCTGCTATGAACATAGTGGAGCAGATGCCCTTGTTGTATGAATTTGCCTCCTTTGGATATATGCCTAAGAGTGGACTTGCTGGGTCTTGTGGTAGATTGATTCCCATTTTCCTGAGGAATCTCCATACTGCTTTCCAAAGTGGCTGTATGAGTTGGCACTCCCACCAGCAGTGGAGGAGTGTTCCCCTCTCTCCACATCCTCTCCAGCATAAATTGTCTTCGGTGTTTTTGATTTTAGCCATTCTGACAGGAGTAAGATGGTATCTCAAAGTTGTTTTGATTTGCATTTCCCTGATGGCTAAGGATGTTGAGCACTCTCCTAAGTGTCTCTTGGCCATTTTAGCCTCCTCTATTGAGAGTTCTCTGTTTAGTTCTGTACCCCACCTTTTAATTGGATCCTTTGGTGTTTTGGAGACTTGCTTCTTGAGTTCTTTGTAAATTTTGGAGATTAGCCCTCTGCCAGATGTGGGGTTAGTGAATATCTTTTCCCATTCTGTGGACTGCTTTTTTGTCTTGTTATCTGTGTCCTTTGCCTTACAGAAGCTTTTTAGTTTCATGAGGTCCCATTTGTTAATTGTCGATCTCGGTGTATGTGCCACTCGTG